GGGCAGCATGCCAAGAAGCCAAATGCTGACCGTGTAACCGGTTAACCCTTTCCATCCCCAGAGCAAGCCCACCCCAGAGGGGGCAGAACTAGCAGGATGCCCTGCGACCAGAATCCTTCCCCGGCCGGGAGTGTGGGGGTGGCAGGGGAGTGTCTCTTTGCCTCCTTCCCAGCCCTCGCCTTGAAGCGAGCCAGGTAGTCTCCGATGACGCTCTGCTGCCAGATCTCTTCGGCCGTCTTGGGCGACTCGGGCAGCTTGGCGCGGTCCTCCTTGTCCGCGCCGTGCTTCTTCTCCGACTGCGCCTTCATGGCAGCCTCGCGGGCTTTGTACTTGGCCTGCGCAGACACACACAGGGGGGCTGGGTCAGGACCAGGTCTCTCCCGGGCCCCACATGCCTGACCCGCCCCCGCACGGGGGACCTAGCTGTGAAATAACCCGGGCACGTGAGCACTGGGCCCCCTGGATTCCCCCCCCACCCTGCTAAGGTGAGAGGGGGGGAGCCAATGCAGTGTAGCCCACAGCGCCTGGGGGCTGCCCTCCAGCTCCATCCACTGGCAGGACTGTTTGGGCCGAAGCAGGGCGACTGCAGCAGCCTGCCTGGAAATGGCAGGGGAGGGTGTTCCAGCATTGGGGGCAGAGGGGTATGGGGGAGCACGCAGGTCCCGGCCCCTTTTCTCCTCTCCCCATTGCTGTGCAAGGCCCCCAAGGCCACGTGTCCCCCCCACAGGTGGCACAGGGCAGTGGTCCCAAACGTCTTATCTCGTGGTCCCCTTAGCCCTGCCCTCCCACGCCCTGGGCCTGGGGGCGGAAGCAGAGCCCCGGCTCTGGGAAAAGGGGGAGACACAGAGGTAAGGGAGCCGGGGCTAGCAGTCGGGGCTGGGAGTGGAGTCACAGCTCCAGGGGTGGGGGAGGAGACACAGACTGGGGGGCCTAGGCTAGGAGCAGGTGCAAGGCTGCGCCTCCCTGGGGAAGGGGTGCCCCACAGTTTGGGGACTTGGGGCATAGAAAAAATAGCCCGTCCTCCATTGCCCCCTCCCCCCATCTCACACACCCAGAAACTTTCCAGCCAAAGCAGAACTCCCAACACACTCACTGAGCTAAATACCCCCCCACCCGCCGCCCCCGGGGCCAGACGGACGACTCCACTGCCCCTCGCCAGGCTTTTAAATCCAGGGTCAAGACCTCTCCGGGTTTCATCCCAGCACGTTCTAAGCTCTTTGAGCTGCTGGTTTAATTCTGGCGTCTCCTTCCCCGCAGCAGGTCCTGGGCTGCCCAGACTCACAGGTGCAATGGAGAAAGGCCAGGACCCCACTGCGGAGGAGGGGGTCAGCGTGGGGGGCCTGTCCATCTGGGCCACACTCGAGCACGCTCCAGCGCCCCCTGCTGGCGCCTTGATGGCCAGGGCGGAGAAAATCAGGGCAGCATCTGGCCAGGTAAGGAGTGAGCAGTGACAGAACGGCTGGCGCCCCCTAGAGGGGATGGATGCGACGGGCATCCTCCGGGGCTCTGGAGAGAGGCGAATTAGCTAGAGATGCCGTTCCGTAAAGCGAGGGGTTTGAAGGCGCGTGCCGTCGATTTCACAACCTTTTTCTTCTCTGAAAGGTCGTTCCACATCCGCGCCAGCAGCCGGGTCAGCTCGCTCTCGGAAAGTTCGGGTCGCTCTTCCTGCAGCTGCTTTCGCTTCTCCTCCGAGAAGATAAACATAGCGGAAATGGGCCGTTTGGGTTTCTCAGAACCTGCCTGTTGAAGAGCACAAAGGGACTTGGTGTGGAGTTGAGGGTTTAAAAAAAAAAAAAAAAAATATCAGATATAAAGACGGAGGAAAAAAAGGGCCCCAAAAATACCGCAGCAGCTTCAAATCGTTACAGAAGAGACCCCAAAAAAATCGGAATTTCTGTTCTTTCTTTTATTGGGGTTTTTTTCCCCCCTGCTGACCCAGCAGCTGCTATCAAGAAGTCTTGAAGCTGGTTTAAAAGTAACTGGCTTGGTCCCTCCACTCTCATGACACACACACGCACCCCCCTGCACCCACCCCGCCTGTGCCAAAGCCAGCCCTCACCTTGCCAGTGTCTGGCGATGACTTTTTGGAAGCAGGGCTGGTGGCGCCTTTCTTGTTCACTCCCAGCATTTTCTCTTCCCCCAGCACCCTCTGCTGCTCCTCCTCAGGCAGGCTCTGCGTTCCAAGCAAAGAAAGAGACACGGGAGGAGGGGGAGGCGGGTGTCAGAGAGTTCTTAAGCACCAGACACAATCCAGCAAAAAGGGAATAGTAAAACATCATCATAACTGCTTTAATCCCACTAAGGCCTTCTATCCGATGATCTCAAACCACACGGACCTCGGATTCTCCCCCTCCAGAATCTGCTAACTAGAGAATCTCCATTAGCTGTACTGGGCTTATGATACAGTGGGAGCACTTCCAGTCGCATCCACTAGAGGGCAGTGGTGCACAGAGGCATAAACTAGTTCATTACAGCATTAGAAACCCACTTTAGACCCACTAAGGCCTTCTATCCGATGATCTCAAACCACACGGACCTCGGATTCTCCCCCTCCAGAATCTGCTAACTAGAGAATCTCCATTAGCTGTACTGGGCTTATGATACAGTGGGAGCACTTCCAGTCGCATCCACTAGAGGGCAGTGGTGCACAGAGGCATAAACTAGTTCATTACAGCATTAGAAACCCACTTTAGAGAAATCCCTCTAGGGTGGGCACCTGCACGGGCGCGCTCAAAGAATTTCAATCCCGCCCACCTCCTCCGCAGAGCATGGAAGGTCAGCTGCTGCTGCAGGTGGGTTTGGTGGGAGAGTGGGGGGGCCAGGTGGCTGCCCAGCTGCTCCCAGGGCAGGGCTGCATGGCGGGCGGCTGCCAGAGCTGGAGCTAGGCTTTAAAACTGGGGAAGCTGCTGCCAGTCCCCAGCACCCCACTCCCAGGCTTTAAAACTGTTGCTGGCCAACCCTGAATATTGCCTACCCTGTACCCCAGACTGCTGCAAGGGGTGAAATATTGTCAGAGGCAGAGATCTTGGCATCTCTATCCTGGGATGGGTTCCCTAGGTTGGGGGTGGAATCTACATCCCTATAGAGGTTGTTAAGTCCCGGCTTGACAGAGCCTTGGCTGGGAGGATTGAGTTGGGTTGGTCCTGCTTTGGGCAGGGGGTTGGACTCGATGACTCCTGAGGGCTCTGCCAGCCCTGGGATTCGAGGATCTTTCAGACTTCAGCTACTCGTTTCCCCCTTCCATTTATATCAATTCGGCTGTGTCTAAACTACATCTTTTCTCGAAAAAGGGATGTGCAAATGAGACACTTCAAAATTGCAAATGAAGGCGGGATTTAAATGTCCCGTGCTTCATTTGCATAATGGCAGCCACGTTTTTTTCCGAAATGGGGCTTTTCGAAAGAAAAACGGCTGCTTAGACGGGGATCGATCGAAAATAAAACCCTTTTTACAGTATAAGCTGTTGTCTAAGATAGCCCCTCTGTAGATCCATGGCCAGCCACACACACAAGAGTGAGGCAAAAGAAGCCAATGCTCAGACACTTCTGCCTACTCTTAGGCAGATCCTGTACTCATTTTTTCAGGAGTACAGGATCTTTTGAAAAAGGGTTTTATTTTCGATCGATCCCCGTCTAAGCAGCCGTTTTTCTTTCGAAAAGCCCCGTTTTGAAAAAACCTGCAGCCGCCAGTATGTAAATGAAGCACGGGAAATTTAACTCCCGGCTTCATTTGCAATTTCAAAGTGTCTCACTCACATCCCTTTTTTGAGAAAAAGGGATGTAGTTCAGACACATCCTAAGAGTTGTAAGCACACGAGGAGGGATTGCACCCTGCTGTACTGCTTCTCCTAGACCTAGAGGATACAGATCGTAGATTAAAGGGAAGAACACAACTTTCCCAGATGAAGTAGCAGTGAATGTGTCGTAAGCAAGAAAGCGTCGGACTGACCTAGGTCTTTCCTTTTCTTATATTCCTTCTATTTGCTTGTTTTCTTGGCTCTTACACATCTCGGTTAACTCTATTCCTTTCCACCATGGCGTCACGCCATCCCTTCTTGTTGCTCCCTTTGTCTTGATCGTCAAAATCCAGACCCCCTGAATCTCTCCCTCACTTTTAATCCCATAGAATCACTGAACACTAGAACTGGAAGGGACCTCAAGAGGTCATCAGCGCCAGTCCCCTGCCCTCACGGCAGGACCAAGCACCATTCTAGATCATCCCTGATAGATGTCTATCCAACCTGCTCTTGAATATCTCCAGTGATGGAGACTCCACAACCTCCCCAGGCAATTGATTCCAGTGTTTAACCACCCTGACAGGCAGGAAGTGTTTCCTAATTTCCAACCTAAACCTCCCTTGCTGCAGTTTAAGCCCATTGCTTCTGGTCCTATCCTCAGAGGTCAAGGAAAACAATTTTTCTCCCTCCTCCTTTTAAAACCTTTTTTGATACTGGAAAACAGCTCTCGCGTCCCCTCTACGTCTTCTCTTTTCTAAACTAAACAAGCCCAATTTTTTCGGCCTTCCCTCACAGCTCATGTTTTCTAGACCTTTCATCATTTCTGTTGCTCTTCTCTAGACCTTCTCCAATATCTCCACATCTTAAAAGCTTTCTTTTCCTCGTCAGCGTACTACGGACTCTTTTGCTCTAAACTTAAAGCTGGTGTATGCAGAACAAGGGCAGGGAACTTTTTTTGGGTCGGGGGCTGCTGACCCACAGTCAAATCAGTCAGGTGAGAAGCCCAAAAGAAAAAAAGACAAACTCTCACTGAGGTGGCCCCTATGGAGAAGCAGAAAGACTCCCCCCATTCCCGTTGCACACCAGAGCCTAGCGGGGCCCAGGCTAGCAGATTTTGTGTGCTCCAGTCCTGCGGTAGGTGCAGGTTCCCCAATGATCTGGGGGGAGCCCTAACCCTTGGGGGCCAGATCCAGGCAAGCTGGGAGCTGCATCTGCCCCCCCAGGCCTGAGGTTCCCCCACCCCTGCTGTCGAATTAAAATCTGTTTTGGAGTCAGTGTTTTTGGAAAAAGGGCCCGGTGCAATTCTCCCTGTTCAATCCGCTGTCGGATGGAAAGGTTCCAGCGACGAGTAGTTGGAACCAGTTCTCCTGAGATCCCATTGGTTTGGCAGAAGGGCTGCTAGCGAGACCTTTGGAAGCGTATTGCCTCAGAGCTCTCAGCTGCGACCAGCTTGACCCTAAGTTGCACAGCTGCTAGAGCAGTGACCAATGCAGTGGCCCACACTGGCGCTTGCAAACCTGTGCATCCGGCGCTGGGAATCTGCCTTGTATTCCTGACGTTGCCCGAGTGGCCATGGACAAATCATTTAACATCTCTGGCTTTACATTTCTCCACCAGCCAACTGGAGACAACACTTTTAAGTGGCTTTGAACTTCTTTAGATGAAAGGTGCTAAATCAGCACCAAGGATTAGTGTGAAATCTGTTTATCTGTATTATGGTAGGGCCTGAAAGTCCAAATTATGGACCAGGCCAGGGTTCCCTGTAAGCTGTGCACGTGGGCGGCTGCTCGGGAGAAATTCAAATGCTGCCCAGTGGACTAGCAGAGGGCCCACAGCTCCATTTTGTCTCTCTACTGGTGGTGCACATGGCACATGCCTCAGTGCACAGAACAAAATGTATTCTGCACAAGGATGGGGAAGATTAGAGGGAACATTGACCTTTATGTTAAGTGCTAGACAAACAGATCAAAAAGGCAATTTTTGCCCCAAGGAGTGTGAAATCTTAACACAAGCACACCACGTAGTTCAACAGGAAACACAAGGAAACAGTGAGACAGGACGTGGCCGGATGGGTAACACTGTGGCTGCTCCCCGAGAGACTCGCAGTCAGCCCTGCAGGCAGCAGCCCCTGCCCTGCACGCAGCCCTCCCCAGAAGCAGCACTCCCTGAGAGGGGCAGGTCTCAACTTCTCTGCCTAGGAGCAGGGATTGGGGTCCTAGCAAAGGTGGGTGCTGGGCTGGGGGAGCAGCGCCACTGGTGGGTGCCATGATGACACCCGTCCGAACAAGCACCCACGGCCTCGAGATGGGCGCACGAGACTGAACTCACTCTGCTCATGGATGGAAAATCTTAGCAGGAGCCCTGGTCTAGACTCGCAGGCCTCAACTTCTCTGCCTAGGAGCAGGGATTGGGGTCCTAGCAAAGGTGGGTGCTGGGCTGGGGGAGCAGCGCCACTGGTGGGTGCCATGATGACACCCGTCCGAACAAGCACCCACGGCCTCGAGATGGGCGCACGAGACTGAACTCACTCTGCTCATGGATGGAAAATCTTAGCAGGAGCCCTGGTCTAGACTCGCAGGCCTGTTACTTAGCCACCAGAGCAGTGGTCACCAACCGGTCGATCGGGATCTCCCGGGAGATCCGAGAGCCTCTGACAGGGGATCCCGACTGGTTTGGCCCAGCGGCTATGAAATGCTAGCACTTAGGCTGCCTCTCCCACCACTGCTGCGCATCTCCTGCCCTTTGCCTTGGCGTTGGCCCTGCCTCTCCCACCACTGCTGCGCATCTCCTGCCCTTTGCCTTGGCGCTGTCCCCCTCTCCCCACCTGTATTCTATCTAGAACGAGGGGTGGGGGGCACAACAGCGTTTGGGACGGAGGGAGTTTGCTGGCTGCTTTTGAGAGTGGGGCAGGGCCAGGGCCGGGGTGATCCTGCCTTACCCCCTGCACCACCACCCAGGAGCCACCTGTGATAAGTGGTGTCCTGCTGGAGCCAGCTCCAAACCCCTGCCCCAGTCATGGACCCCCTCCTTCACCCCAAGCCTCTTCCCTAGCCCTGAGCCCCCCCCCCAGAACCAAACTCCCTTACAGAGCCTCACCCTGAACCCCCTCCTGAGCGCCAGGCTCAGCTCAGAGCCCTTCTCACACTCCAAATCCCTAAGCCCAAAGAGCAGAGCCTGCGCCCCAACCCTCTGCCCCTGCCTGATGCAAGGGAGGGAGACTGGGGGAGGGAGGGAGGACGGAGTGAGCAGGGACAGGGCCTCGGAGAAGGGGAACGAAGGAGGCGGGACAAGGGGATTTGGGTTTGAGGTAGATCCTGGATTGCACTTAAATTGAAAAACTGATCTCGTGCTTTAGAAGGCTGGAGACTCCTGCGCTAGACCACGCTTCCCGTTAGGGCTCCGGAGAGGGAGAGGAGAAACGGCATCCCCGCTTGAAATGCCTGGTGCGCTACGGGCCATGTTCTAAACCCACTGGCACCTTTCCAGAGCACCTGGATTTAAACTAGCGAGTGCGCCCAGCGATGGGATTAAAACACCCTCTGACAAAAGGGACCATCCCAAGACAGGTAGGCAGACGGCACCCCTCCCCCCTCCCCCCAAGAGGGGAAACTTTCTACCCACGGGGAAGGACCCCTGCCTCAGTCCTGTACCCCCTCCGGCACCCCAACCCCTGCCCTAGCTCTGAGCCCGCTCTAGAACCAAGCTCCCTTACAGAGCCTCACCCTGAACCCCCTCCTGAGCGCCAGGCTCAGCTCAGAGCCCTTCTCACACTCCAAATCCCTAAGCCCAAAGAGCAGAGCCTGCGCCCCAACCCTCTGCCCCTGCCTGATGCAAGGGAGGGAGACTGGGGGAGGGAGGGAGGACGGAGTGAGCAGGGACAGGGCCTCGGAGAAGGGGAACGAAGGAGGCGGGACAAGGGGATTTGGGTTTGAGGTAGATCCTGGATTGCACTTAAATTGAAAAACTGATCTCGTGCTTTAGAAGGCTGGAGACTCCTGCGCTAGACCACGCTTCCCGTTAGGGCTCCGGAGAGGGAGAGGAGAAACGGCATCCCCGCTTGAAATGCCTGGTGCGCTACGGGCCATGTTCTAAACCCACTGGCACCTTTCCAGAGCACCTGGATTTAAACTAGCGAGTGCGCCCAGCGATGGGATTAAAACACCCTCTGACAAAAGGGACCATCCCAAGACAGGTAGGCAGACGGCACCCCTCCCCCCTCCCCCCAAGAGGGGAAACTTTCTACCCACGGGGAAGGGATCTGTTGGGTTTTCCACCGTTTCGTTTTACAAACAAAAGCCCTAAACCACTCACTGAGCCCATCTAGACACAACACGGGGGCTAGCAGCTCCCAGACGCTTTAGGAAAAAAGCAAGTCTGAGTCCAAACAAAGCCCTGCCCACCCCCACCCC